GTAAAATAATAAAAGAACCCCTGACTCTTTGCATAGATGACACTGAAGAGCGGTAATGAGAAGACCTTGGGTTCATTTGGTGCAATTTTTAAGGAAACGAATTTGTACTTAAAATTTGTGCGGTTTGAAAACAGATAAACATTTCATTAGTCAGGCTGCTCTGCAAACACGCTCCATGTGTTAAAAGCAGTGGAATGAATTCTTTCAGAACGCGTCTCAATAGTCCAGTAACATTTAGGCTTTGTTGCTTTGAAACCTAAAAGGGTAAAGTAAAAATCAAACCTCCTCCTGTTGAATGTACAGACTCTTTAGTGTAAAAGAAGCTAAACCTCAGAAACTGGATTAGAGAATCTTTCTGAATTCACACTACAGGCGTGAGTCTGTTTGGACACATCCACTGACCTTGAACACCTACATTATAAAAGCTGCTAGTTCCCAGTTCAGTTTCAATAGAGAGAGAGAGAGAGAGAGAGTGAGTGCTTGTGAAGAGAAAACTCTGCCTGACTGTTAAACCACACACTGCAAAACATGCAGATTATCTTTTTCCATGTGTCATTGACCAGAGATGATTTGATTCACAACCATTCAAACTTTTAGTACCAAGTGATTTTCAGCTGCCCTCTTCCAGAGGCTTTCTATGTCAAGACATCTGGACTTCTCTAACACTCTCCTTTGGAGTTCTGGACTTGTTAAAAGGTGAACTATCTTCCCATTTTCAGCTTGGCCACCCTGCATTTTCCCCTTCTCTGACAAGTGTCCTATTCCCAACGCAAGACCAACACAATCAGACGTGTTGAAGACCATACTTGACTGAGTTTTTTTGGCTGACCTGGCCATTTTACGTTCTGCTTGGTAATTTGGGCTGTTTTTCTTTTGTCCAGGTCCAATGATTTATTCAAAAATACATATAAAATGCAGTTCATGCATACAGTGACTTTTAACTTCATGAAAAATGACTGAGCTAAACCTGTTTGAAATTGATGGAGTTAGCAAAGTAAATTTAGATAAAAACTGATTTGAAGTTTTCTGACCTAGCAACGTTGCATCTTTTCCCCCACTTCTTTTCTTAATAATCATTACTAGATTAATAATCACAATATAGCTTTTTTTTATTTTATCTTTGTTGTTATAAGAACTGATGCAAAAAATAAACAAATATAAAAAAACAAGTGTATTACCTACTTTTTTCATTTTACAGGCAAACATAAGCATTCAAGTAAGAAAAACAAATATAGTAAAATGTAAAAATCACTTAAGTGTATTCATTAAAAATAAATTGATTATTAAAACTACAAAAGCAGTTCAGTCTCTTTTCTTTTATTGTTTGATTAGCATTAATGAGACATAGTATAATGCACGGATCTAATATAATGTTACACATTGTATGTTTTTCCCCAAAAGTTGCCCAGACATTCACTTAAGATATAACAGATTATGTTTGCGTGAATACTTAAATATATTTAGCCTACTTTAAATCTGTGTACGTGTATTGGGATAGAGCGCCGTTGGTGTCTGTCGACTTTATGCAGGCGCTTCGGATGAGAGGCAGTGCGAGAAGCGAGCGTGGGAAAAGGTTCTCCTCTCAGAAAATGTACAAATAAAGATACTTTTAGATGTTTAATTACTTTCTTACGTCTCGCTAGACGAGGGCTTAATGAACTCATTTTTGTGAAAATCTAAAATTCGACCACTTTTTTTGCCCGTAGCTCAAAATTAGCCCGTGTGCATTACTACTCATTTTGCCAGCACGGGTCACAAATATCTAAAAATTCTTTAATCAAGATGCATTCACTTGACAAGTAAAATTACTTAAGATACTATGTCTTGCTTTCTGAAAAAAAAAAAATCCAAATTTTGTTAGTTTTTGCTTAAAACAAGCAAAAATATCTGCCAATGGGGCAAGACAAATAATCTTGTTTAGCCTTTGAATTATGATTATTTTTCTTACCCCCATTGGTAGATATTTTTGCTTGTTTTAAGCAAAAACGAAACATTCTGATAATTTTTTTTTTAGAAAACAAGACAAAAAACAAGACAATATCTTAAGTCATTTTACTTGTCAAGTAAATGCATCCTGAATCAAGAATTTGTAGATATTTATACTAGAAAACAAGACAAAAATACTACAAAAGAAAATCTTTTTTTTTTTTTTGCATTATTCTGACAGAATTTCAAGATGACACAACTGTTTTGATATCATAATGAGGAAAAAATCCTCATTGCAAAAATTAAACTCTTGAAAAGAAAACCTTAAGTAGGTTGCCATATTCTTCTAGTATTGTTTCTTAAAAATATACAGGTGCATCTCAAAAAATTTGAATATCGGGAAAACTTTTGTAATTTATTTCAAAAAGTGAAACTTTCATATATTCTAGATTCGTTACATGTAAAATAAAATATTTCAAAAGTTTTTTTGTTTTAATTTTAATGATTAGAGCTTACAGCTCATAAAAGTAAAAAAAAAAATTTGTATAGAGTAAATTTTTTTTAAATTTGGCTTTTTAAGTTTTTCCTTTTCTTTATCAAGGGCACTCTTATGCAAATGAGCAGTGACACACTACAGCGTCTACCAATGACAGCGCAGAGAGTGATCTGCTGGCTGATACAGTTGGATACCGTGGTAACCATTCAATCACTGACAGTGTAAACGCACGCAACTTTATGATTTGATCCGCAGGATTCACAGATTGCGTTTGACTTGTAGCCATCCAGCGTCATCCAGTCTGTTCACGACAGTGTTTCACGAGAATACATTTCACAGAATCTCCTCTGAAACAATGTCATCAAATGAATAAAGAGGTCCAGATACTCCTAAATGAATTTTTGAGCAGTCAACAGATGGTTGAGCTTGATGGTCTTAATTAGAAATGCACATTTCAGCAGTTCACACATTGCTATACCAATTATGGAAACAGTAATGACTGCTGCTAAAGAGACGTCTCGGTGTTAGTCCCGAACACCAGTAGCTCAGATAGCTCACAACTGATGCTGAGATCTGGTCCACACTGAAATGAATCACGTGGGTGTGTAAACAGTTACATTGGTTTCATTATTTGACAAAAATATCTGCTTTCGAAGTGATAAAACAAGCGCACAGTACGCACAGTAACCGTCATCGTGTTCCGAGAGGCTCCAAATATACAGCGCCATTAGCTCGACTGGCAGGGTGTTCTTTAGCCCTCAGTGTCAGGGTTCGGATCCGCTCTCCTCCCCGGTGATTTACTACTATTTTGGATGGTAACACATTTCAGTGGGCGTGTACGTGTGAACAGCTGGGACCATCATAGAGAGGGCTGTTTGTTAGGAAGCATTTGCAGTGATCACTGATTATTTCTTTTTCAGTCGAGATTAATATGACTGGATTTCAAGTGTGATGTGATCATTGCATATTTCAAGTCAGGTTGATTTTTATTATGGCTTTTGATCCATTAAAAGTAGAATTAAAGTTTAAACGGAATTTATTACAATATGAAGGGTTAATTAATATTTTGCTAAAGCAGTATTTGCTGAGAAAAGCCCCCAAATAAAGATAATTCAAAGATGATACATGCCAAATCAAACAATTGATCTTCCAGTCCAAGTTGGATATGGGTCAGAGAGGCAAACTGTTAATTACAGTACAGTAAATATAGTAGTGTTTATTAAGCTGTATGTTATTATTCTCACCTATTACCGTTCAAAAGGTTTGTGTTTGTTTTGAAAGAAATTAATACTTTCATTCAGAAACGACATTAAAGTGATCCAAAGTGACAGTAAAGACATTTATAATGTTACAAAAGATTTCAATTTCAAATAAATGCTGTTCTTTTGAACTTTCTAGTCAACAAATCCTGTATTGATAATAGGGTATGTCCATGTCAAATCAACTGAATTTCAGAAACCTTTTTTCTGAGGAAAGACAAGCATAAATAGTGATGAAACCCAAAATATTACATGTCATGGATGTATATTTAGTGAGTGATCTATAGAGGTGGGTCAAAATGACAATTTTTACCTGAGATTTGGAGCCAAATTACAGGAGGGTAAAAAGGACTTGATGATAGATACAGAAATGAGATGTGTTTCTAGGTTCAACATTATTTGTTCTTCTGAATGCTGAATGCAAAGTGACCTACATTTATTTTTTGGCCACTGAAAATTTGTACAATGTAGCAGTTTACTCTTGGAGCAATATTTAGATCCTTAATCTGGAAACGATTAAGGATCTCTGGAAACGAACCAAATAGGGCCTTAAAAATTAAGATACCAAAAGAAAAGTTTGTTCATTTTAAATGACTCAAACGTGCCCCCCCCCCTCCATTTTTGAACCGTCACCATTGGCATATAATGCAGCAAATGTTGTGAAAGTCAACAGATATTACTAATAGACCTACCAGTCTTTGTGTAAAAGTAAAATCAGTATATTAGACTGATTTCTGAAGGATCATGTGACACTGCAGACTGGAGTAATGATGCTGAAAATACAGCTTTGATCACAGCAATAAATTACATTTGTGATTTTAATGTGTAATAATATTTCTCAATATTTCAATTTTTACTGTACTTCCTCAAATAAATGCATAAGCACAAAATACTTCTTTTAAAATATAACCATATTGTGTATATTACATATACATTTATGTGCCGTGTTTAGTGCATTTATTTCAGTGAGTCAGACAGGCCAGTGCTTCATTTACCAGCATCTCATTCAACATTAATTTTAATATTGATTTTAAAATCCTTGATCCTTGTCCTTAAAAACCCTCCCTTCCGAACATTCCCCTTCAAGTCTACGCCTCTAAAGCCCTTGGTATTTGTATTTGGGAACCTCATCCTGACTGTGAAAGTCTTACAGGCACTTATTATGAAGCCCAGAATAATTACACGGCAGTATCGGAGGACATCCTCCATAGCAGAGCTGCTATTATTTCCCTGACTTCCGCTGTCTTGGGGAATAGCACAATGCTTGCTTGTCCGGATGTGAAATTTAATTTAGATCTTTATTTTCGCTCTTTCTCCAGACTGATCCCGCAGACGGTGGGTCTCCTGTACGTGGGGAGCTATGACATGCCCTTTGCACAAATGAAGGTGAGAGAAACATTGGTTCACATCTCTGATAATTCCTTCTGTCAGCGTTCCCTCTGTCTGATTCACTGCAAACACAGATGCCGCTAAAGATAGTCCTGTCATTGTCAAGCGCTCTTTACATGATGTGCTTTTAATTAATTGAGTCAGACAGGTGAACGTTGTGTCACACAAGAGCTCCGTTCTGAGACCCAGCGATCGGCCTGCCTAGACAGCAGTTTGAGGAATCCTACAGGAGGTGTGCACTCGATGTGCAGGCTGTTCCGAGAAATGGGCCACAACAATAAAACACATTATAAGATGGAACATGTTGTATGACTATTTGGACACAAACAACTGTAAAGGCCCGTTGACACCAAAGATGATAACTATAATGATAACATTAAAGTTCATGTTATGGTTTCTGGAGTCTACACCACAACTATAACAATAACAGCACAGATATTAATAACAGGAATAATATCATTGGAATCACTTTTAAAAGGTTTTTTTTACCAGCTGATGAACTGTAAAAGCATCGACAGCTAATGAGAATCCATTCTACTCAAGCATTTAAAGCGTCAAGTCACATAACAGCAACGCGCACTTATAATAAACAGAATGTTATCGTCCTCTGGTGTGGACACTATTATACACTGGGAACACTTAAAGGTAGGGTAGGTGATTTCGGAGAGGCTAGCAATAGTAAGCTAGCTTTGAAACCATAAGATCCCACTCTTCCTGCAAATCACTCTCCAAAGCCACGCCTCCTCCAAAACACATGACCGTGCTCAGACAGACCAGAGGCTAACCAGCGACACGATGAGAGACGCGTCAATGCTGTCAGATTACCTCATGTCTCATTCCCCGGTGAGAAAACTTTACAGTACAAAGTGCATAATATTACAATAATAACGCCTTCCACTCGCTCGCTCGGTCTATAATTGAACGTGCTGCTGACGTATCATGTCTGCACGAACAGGGTGAGTGGAGGTATGCAAATACTAGGGGTGTAACGGTTCACAAAATTCACGGTTCGGTTCGATACGACACAGTGGTGTCACGGTTCGGTACGTTTTCGATACGGGGGGGCGTGGGTAATTACTTTAGTCGCAATGTTGGAAATATTTATGATTTAAACCATGAAGGCGAGCCAATGGATATCACTAGAAAGTGAAAGTAAAAGCGGAATGATGGAGTAATGACGGAGCTTTCGGCATCTGACGCCGCATATTTTCTCAGAGACGACGAGAGACGAATCTACTTCAACATATGCTGATAACGGTATATAGCTAACTGTTTTCATTTACTCCCTTAATATTTCTCTTGTGGCCCGTACATAGTAAAAGAAAATGAGAAGAAACGTATTTGGTGTTAAACAGGTTGTTTTTGAAAGTCGGCGCTTTAAATAGGCTAAATAAAGCTTTTTATTTCATTGATTTTTATTGATGACTGCAGTGTTAATATTTTAATTATAGGCCTATAATTAATTGTATAATAGACCTGTTTTAAAATAACTTTTTTAAAACATTTTAATTGAGGAGCAAATAGCCTTATCTTTTGTAATCCTCGCAGCGCATCAGTTATGCGGTAATATTGCGGGGAAAATTTATTGTAATTTTAATTTAATAATACAATTTTATAATAAAAGTAACTTAATAATAATAGGCCTAATAAAAATAAGAATGTAACAGGGCTACATTAATTGAAAATGCCAAATCCTCTTAATATTGCCAATAATTGATGTTTTTGACAATATCTCTGGCTATAGTCGATACAAGATCCTCGTCTTTCGATGCACCCCATTGCCTGTTATGTCATTTGGGCTGCCTTGTTGAGCGCAGTGGCACTGAGATCTTTATATTTCACACATTTTAAGCTCTTTTATTTTCCAAATGTAATAGGATCAGTCCAACGAATCGTTCGGTTTGTAATGCGTACCGAACCGAAAGCCTCGTACCGAACGGTTCAATACGAATATGTGTATCGTTACACCCCTAGCGAATACATACATTGACAGGCCAGTGCTATCTCACGACCCATTCGTACGTATTTTACGTGGTGGCTAATTTGTATGAATTCTTGCGGCCTCATTTATACAAACTCGGTCGACCTCACTCGATATTGTGCGATGTATGATTTAGTACGATTTGTTTAGACCCCAGTGATGGGTAGGTTTAGGGGTAGGTCATTCATACGAATTCATTAAAATTGGGGAACTCATAAAAAATGTACGATTTAGCAAAAATCGTACAAATTAGCCACCTCGTAAAATACGTACGAATTGCCATGAGATCGGATTGGACAGGCAGGTTGGATAGCATGTCGTAATGTTACATGTTAACATTTATGTTAACATTTTATGGTCCTACCCTTCCACAGACTATATAAATACATTTACACCACTCAATTAGTGATTGCTTTTGGGATGTGAAAATACTTTCAACCAGAATAACAAAACATGTTTTTGAACCAAATCACATACCCTGCCCTTAAATCACACATAGGATCTCAATGAATGAAATAAAACAAAATAAAAAAAAGTTGAAAATTTTTGCTTATATACATTGTGTAATTTATTGAGAACAAAATGATGTGACACTTTGTGTCGGTTACACTTTATTTTTATTAGACATTCTAATAACCATAAGTAACTTTGCAACTACATACCAACTAATTCTATTAATTTGCACCTGCATGTCTACAAACTCTCAGAGTAGATTGTTAGGTTTAGTGTTAGTAGAATAAGTTGACATATACTTGCAAATATTCTTATAGTCAGAATATTGTATGTTGTGGGCCCATTAAAGTAAAGTGTTAGCAGATATTAAGCAGACAGTCTACTAATACTCTAATGACTGCTAGTTCACATGTAGTTGCAAAGTTACTCACTGTTAGTAGAATGTCTAAAGTGGGCTATCAAAATAAAGTGTTATCCAATGGTCAGTGAAAGCCAAAATCATCAACCCACTGAGGGCTGGATTCAAAATCACACTGAAAAGTAAAAGTAAAAAAAAAAAATTAAATTACAGGCTGATCGAACTTGCATGAATTTCATAAAAGCAACTCGTTAAGTAGTTCTATTCATAAGCCTGTTGAAATCAGCTATTAAGGTATTAGACACAAAGCCACATCGTTTTTTTTGCACTGGGAACAGATGATTTAGTGTTGTTTTTAAGATTCTTAAGAGTTTTGTTCCACCCATATTCATAAATCAAATAACAAGGAGGTACACAAGAGCTGCTACAAGAAGCGATTGTAACAAACCATTGAGAAGTACGGGTTAGTCAGTTATAATTTGCCTTAAGACGAAACTAGACGATAACTGACATAGATCTTGACAACTTAAAACCAGAAGAAAAAAAACAATTGTTGTGGTTTCTCTAGAAATGAAAACATTTGGTTGTCAAATCAAAATTATAAATATTTATAGGGATTTTAGTGTAATCATTTTGCATTAATATTTTAACTACAGATTACGTTGTTTAATTATCCTAGTTAAATCCAGCACATTTTACACCGATTCTGTATTATTAATGTATATTGTCCCTGAATAAAATAATAAATAAATTAGCATAAATTAGATAGAAGATGGAGTGAGAGAAGCACTGATTATAAATACATTAGTGCAGTAATGTTGTGGATTATTTTACCCAAATTTAGCATTTTTTACATACAGAATTATCTTAGCAGCATGTTAATGCAAACTCTATTGGAATCAGTTGTGCGTTACGTCCCCCATACGCTTCACATGAAGAGCACTAATTTGTAAGGCTGACATGCCTTTTGGAGTTGCTGTCTGTGTTCACAAATCTATTTTGTCATGAATCCAAGTCTGACTTCTCTTTTGGAAATAGTTTTTTTTTTTTTTTTTTTTCCTGAATACAGCATTATTTTTAAGTCAAGCGGTTGAATGAATGATTCAATAATTCACCCATAAAGTGAGTCACTTTTTGCATTCCTGTATAATTATTTATCACATGATCATCGAGAACTCCAATGTCCACGCAACTCCTGATAACAAAAGTATAAATTTCAGACTTTGGTTGTTTCAAACCATCACCTGATCTTGAATTCAGTGTGTTTTTTGTTTTTCTTCTATAACAAAATTATTTTTTTTTTTTTTTTTTTTTCCTTTAGTTGGCAAGAAACCCACTAAACAACATTTAGGCTAGTTTTCTGAAACACACACTCAGTAGTAAATTAATGGGTAACTATGGTAACTGGTAATTGTTTTCTTTCACTCAAAACCACATATGTTATGCTGCTGACTATGTTTATGAAATGATTTTGTTTATTTCGCAAATAAATATGTGGTGCAATTTCCACAGATAGACATGGAGTTTTTATAGACGAGGACAGGAAAGCAGTTGTTGTCATTGTGCTGAAGTGCTGCAGTGGACTGTAGGCAATAAAGAGGCCACATTAGTGACGAGCCACTGCTCCACTCAATCAATCAAGATGCAGGAATGTTCTAATGGCTGGAAATTAAACACAAATGCTGAATAATCATAGCTCACATAATGTACATGCATTCTTAAAACTAAAGGTGCTTAAAAGGTTCTTCACAGCGATGCCACAGAAGAACCATTTTTGGTTCCACAAAGAACCATTCAGTCAAAGAACCATCTCTTTCTTAGCTGGTTATAATCTGAAGAACCTTCTTTCACCACAAAGAAAACAGAATTTCAAGAAAATAGCCATTTCTACTTGTTACACAGAGACTTTTGTTCATGAGTCAAGTCTGATGTAGAGCTTCCCAAATCATTCCATTTCACCAAGACAGAGCGCTTTCATCTGAATGGGACAGAATGCAAAAATAGTCAACATCTCTAATCGACCTGGGGCCCGTTCTTCGTACGTCGCTTATTACATCCGAGATGAAATGTCACATCCAAGATGATATCATCGCGCTAATCAGGATCTGGCTAATTCGGTTCTTCGAACGCACCTGTTGTTGATGATTAGTATGGCTGGATTGAGTTATCTGAGATAATTGCACGTTCATGGGTTGGTTTAAAAGG